TCTCCTTCCACGGGGCTGTTTACGAACACCGCCCAATTAAAGCTCCAATAGGACACTCGGCTATCACGCGGCGTGATACTCTGATAGCGCAGTTGGACGAAAAAATGTGAATAAATATATTTAAATGTATAATCTTCAACTACATTATGAGGTGCATTGTATCTATTTGATTGGCAGGTCGAATGCAGCAGTGTAGAGTGTGGGAACTCCTACTTCTCTCTCTAGACATCTGACGGGGGTGGAAAACGAGGAGGCCAAATTATTCTCAAGAGGCCCTCAAGTGCTATCTATAGTCGGGAGGCCCTTTCACCAGCAGTGCCATGAGAAGGCAAATGCAGGGCTGCACCTTCACCTATTCTTGTACATGATAAAGGCATTTCACTGAATTAATGAATACACATACGTGTGTGTGTGCCTGTTTGTGTGCGTGTGGGCATGAGCACGTGTGTGCGTATTGAGTGGAAAGCAGTAGTGCAGTGGATAATAGAGGGGTTTTTGGGTTAGATTCGCCGAAATATATAAATGTGTCGTTAAACCCGCCACCACCCAACACAGCCAATTAGTAATGTTTGTCATTTAAACAAAATGTGCTAATTAGTTACCAGTTCAGCACACTGTTGTGTTGGAAACTAAACCCACAACATTTTTCTGAGCGTTACACGAGTTGGATTCCCGCTCACGGCCACCAACAACCGATGAAGGTTATCTGAACCAGTCCTGGCCCTCCCGTAGGTCGACTCAGTCTTAAATGAGTACCTGTTGTGGTCTGTGAACAGAGGGGGTGGCCAGCCACCACCTCATAGGTGCACCGTGCCAGCCTTCATAGGTGCTCGCTAACAGCACTTGCCCCAACAGTCTGTTAATATTACATGGGGGATCTTTGTCTTTGCCCGTGGGCGGAGTGGCGGTGCAGTAGTTATCGCACTGCGCTATGAATCTGGCGATAATGCGCGCACACGCACGGCCACACACAAACATAAGTACACACCACTCCCCTTAACTGCGCAGTATTGAACGCTAGCGTGTAACGTGCCGCCGATAACACAGCTCTCTCGCTCTCCTCTCATCCATCTCTCGCCCCCCTCACCCCCATCACCCCCCATCTCATCCGCCCTAGATGCGTGTCCCGTTCCCTTGCCTCCCCGCAGGGCAAACACTATCCCTTGCCGGGGCAAGATTCAGCCTCCGCTCAGCTGTTAAGCCGGCTCGTTGGGATCGGCCAGACCACCGTGCTCACACAGTGCCAGGCTATTTATAGGCGCGGCCGCGGCCGTGGTGGTGGTGGCGTTGGCGGCGATGGCAGTGGTCGGCGGTAGTGGTGGTGGTGGCGGCGGCGGCAGCCAGCGGCGTCTGTATGTTTTATAATAGATCCCCGCGTATCTTCGCGCGCGTATTTGAGGTCAGAATGTTTTGGGTAAAAGACGCCGCAGAGTTGTGCCAACTGGGGTCCACTTTTCTTTTTCTTTTGGGTCTCGCCGCCCCGTCCCTAATGAGGTGTTAATGGGCCTCGTTAAAGAGTGCGGTTGTGGCGAAAGCCAAATAAATTGCCATCGGCTTCCTGATCATCTCCCGGCAAGCCAGTGGGGGGTAAACTCCACATTACCGCGACGGGGGGGTGTGTGCGGGAAGTCCACCCGCAGAATAAACCACCACACGGATACTCTTGGTGTCCACGTCGGAGGGAGGAGGACTCAAACGCAGGTGGGATTTAAACTCGCAAGCCTCTAAACTGCGAGCCCGTTGCACTCTAAACGAACCGTGCACGCGCGTTTGGCCAGACATCACCGTGGTCTCGTGTCCGTGCGATCACAGCCATTTCGTAAATTAATTGCACAATTAGCACCTCCCCCGATGTGCATTTCGTTGCTGGGGGAGTGCTGGTTGTGAAGGCGAGGAGATTTTTGAGTCGTGGGAACATAGAAGTACGGTACAACGATATATGTTGCTGCATTGCCCTCTCCCAACCTACCACGTAAACCCTAAACAGGCTCGATGACAACATATTTGTGCTAATCCAAGCGCTATCCAGGCTCAGCCCTGCTGAGCTTCCGAGATCTGGCGAGATCGAGCGCAATCCGGCTGATTTGGTCATGGGCACACTACACAGTACCTTTCTAAATGCAGTTACGTTCATACAGATAAACATATGAACCTGGCGGCTACACTGAGCAAAACCTCTGCGACCCAGTAATTGGCTGGCTTAGGAGTCATTTAATCCCCGACCGTAACCGCGCCGGGAACGCTTGCGCCTCCTCCCACTTGCGAGTGGCCTCCTCCGCACGCAGTCTGGATGTGTTTTAGCGGCAAATTAGTTGTGCTCCCTTCCGGCCATGTGATTCCCATTACCGCAAATCGCTGCGGCCTCAGCAGCGGCCGTTTGACGCCTTCGAGGTCCTCCCGAAGATTTCGGGGTTTTTTTGGTGCGTCACGACTGCGGAAGTTTTCGCGGTGTGCGCCGTTGCACGGCTTGCTCAGCGCGCGCGCTTCCCGGTTGTGACGTCGCGTCCGACGTTTCGCTCCGTGTGTGTGTGTGTGTGTCGGTGGGCGGGGCGGGGCGGGGCGGGGTGGTGGAGGGGGGCTTCTTCAAGGAACTGAAAAAGCTCACCCTGGGAGAAAAAAAAACCTGGCTGCCAAGCCAATGCGAGGCTGCCGGCACGCGGAGCGAAACGTCGGGACGTTGTGCTGAGCAACACGCGGCGCGCAATTTCTGGGACCACGTCGGAGGGACGGAAACAAAATTTGACAAGGAAACCTGATGGTTTCTTCGGTCAAGCCGTGACCCCAGAAACCGTGACCCCAAAAACGTAGGCAGGCAGGCAGGCGCTTTTAATTTTCCCCTTCTCACTTTGGGACCCACTCATCCATGGCGTCACTCCTGGTGGGAACGGAACTTGGCGGGGGCAGTAGTTTCTTTCGAACAAAAGCTCCAAAATGTGTCTCTGATTTAATTTTTTCCAAATAATGTTCAAAAACGTGAACGCCGTAGCTTGATCCGGTCCATCTGTGTGTCTGTCCGCAACAGGGGGGCCACGATAACTGAGAGAATTTATCTAATTTCTGCACACGGACCGGACTTCTTTTGCCATCTCGTCAATCTAAACATACTTATACATAGTTACACATTCACGCACTTGTTCTCGTATATACATACAGTGAGGGAAAAAAGTATTTGATCCCCTGCTGATTTTGTACGTTTGCCCACTGACAAAGAAATGATCAGTCTATAATTTTAATGGTAGGTTTATTTGAACAGTGAGAGACAGAATAACAACAAGAAAATCCAGAAAAGCGCATGTCAAAAATGTTATAAATTTATTTGCATTTTTAATGAGGGAAATAAGTATTTGCCGCCCTCTCAATCAGAAAGATTTCTGGCTCCCAGGTGTATTTTATACAGGTAACGAGCTGAGATTAGGAGCACACTCTTCAAGGGAGTGCTCCTAATCTCAGCTTGTTACCTGTATAAAAGACACCTGTCCACAGAAGCAATCAATCAATCAGATTCCAAACTCTCCACAATGGCCAAGACCAAAGAGCTCTCCAAGGATGTCAGGGACAAGATTGTAGACCTACACAAGGCTGGAATGGGCTACAAGACCATTGCCAAGCAGCTTGGTGAGAAGGTGACAACAGTTGGTGCGATTATTCGCAAATGGAAGAAACACAAAAGAACTGTCAATCTCCCTCGGCCTGGGGCTCCATGCAAGATCTCACCTCGTGGAGTTGCAATGATCATGAGAATGGTGAGGAATCAGCCCAGAACTACACGGGAGGATCTTGTCAATGATCTCAAGGCAGCTGGGACCATAGTCACCAAGAAAACAATTAGTAACACACTACGCCGTGAAGGACTGAAATCCTGCAGCGCCCGCAAGGTCCCCCTGCTCAAGAAAGCACATATACATACCCGTCTGAAATTTGCCAATGAGTATCCGAATGATTCAGAGGACAACTGGGTGAAAGTGTTGTGGTCAGATGAGACCAAAATGGAGCTCTTTGGCATCAACTCAACTCGCCGTGTTTAGAGGAGGAGGAATGCTGCCTATAACCCCAAGAACACGATCCCCACCGTCAAACATGGAGGTGGAAACATTATGCTTTGGGGGTGTTTTTCTGCTAAGGGGACAGGACAACTTCACCGCATCAAAGGGATGCGGTGAAGTTGTCCCGTCAAATCTTGGGTGTGAACCTCCTTCCCTCAGCCAGGGCATTGAAAATGGGTCGTGGATGGGTATTCCAGCATGACAATGACCCAAAACACACGGCCAAGGCAACAAAGGAGTGGCTCAAGAAGACGCACATTAAGGTCCTGGAGTGGCCACGCCAGTCTCCAGACCTTAATCCCATAGAAAATATGTGGAGGGAGCTGAGGGTTCGAGTTGCCAAACGTCAGCCTCGAAACCTTAATGACTTGGAGAAGATCTGCAAAGAGGAGTGGGACAAAATCCCTCCTGAGATGTGTGCAAACCTGGTGGTCAACTACAAGAAACGTCTGACCTCTGTGATTGCCAACAAGGGTTTTGCCACCAAGTACTTAGTCATGTTTTGCAGAGGGGTCAAATACTTATTTCGCTCATTAAAATGCAAATCAATTTATAACATTTTTGACATGCGTTTTTCTGGATTTTGTTGTTGTCATTCTGTCTCTCGCTGTTCAAATAAACCTACCATTGAAATTATAGACTGATCATTTCTTTGTCAGTGGGCAAACGTACAAAATCAGCAGGGGATCAAATACTTTTTTCCCTCACTGTACATACATCCGAACACATTCACGTATACTGGCTGTGTTCTAATTCACGAATCCAATTCTACTTTGTCTCGTTTTTCCCCAACGTTACTTGTTTTTCCTCACTCTATTAATTGACAAAGGAATACATCAGCATGCTCACTAAACACTTTACCCCCTAGCCAACCATCCATTTCAAACCCGATCGCTAAGCGGCCATTACTGCCGCCCCCCCCGCTCCTCCCCTGCTGGTGCTGCGATGATGTCACAGAGGCGCTGCACCGGCCGCTTCCGCTGGTTCCGGAATCGGAGGGGCTGGCGCTGGAGGAGGGGCCCTCCTCGCTGGGGCTCCCCGAGAACGACCCCAACCTCTTCGTGGCGCTCTACGACTTCGTCGCCAGCGGGGACAACACCCTGAGCATCACCAAAGGTTCGGCGAGGCGGCGCCGGCGAGCGATGTCCCGAGTGGCACGCGGGGATCTGGGGGCACGTGGGGATCTGGGGGCACGTGGGGCTCCGGGATGGACGGGGTTGCGGGGCAGATGGGGGTTCGCGGAATATGGGGGTCCAGAGAAGACGGGGGTGTGGGGCACACGGGGGTCCGGGAAAGACGGGGGTCTAAGGGAAGATAGCGCTTACAGATGCGCTTTTGCGGCCGTCTGGAACGCTCTTCCTTTCAATATTAGGAAGCCACTGGAGCGATGCACTTTTTAGTCTACATTGCAAACTATTTTATTTAGAACACATTTTTGTGCGTAGTTTGTTGTCCTTCCCCCAAACGTCTAATTCGCCCGGTTGGCTACGTACGGTGCGAAAGAAGTTCAACATACTACATACATGCCAGTTTTTCAGAGCATTTTCCTTTAAATCCCCCCAAAAAATGTCATAAATGATAACCGTGTGCAATGAAATGAAAATCAATGTGTAGATAGGACGCATCCTACATGATATATAGGAGAAACAAGATAAGCTCATTAAACATTTATGGAGTGTGCAATTCATATTCTCGCGTGTCAGCAAACTATTTTAAACGCACAATATCCGTGCATTCACACCATGAATGCAAAGATTCTACGAGCTAAAAAATTGCCGTGTTATTTTCCTTTTCGCGGTGGGCGCAGGCGAGAAGCTGCGCGTCCTCGGCTACAACCACAACCACGAGTGGTGCGAGGCGCGCACGCGCAACGGCCAGGGATGGGTGCCGAGCAACTACGTGACGCCGGTGCACAGCCTGGAGAAGCACGCGTGGTACCACGGCCCCATCTCGCGCAGCGCCGCCGAGTACCTGCTCAGCAGCGGCATCAACGGCTCCTTCCTGCTGCGCGAGTCGGAGAGCAGCCCCGGGCAGCTGTCCATCTCGCTGCGCTGCGAGGGGCGCGTCTACCACTACCGCATCAACACGGCCAGCGACGGCAAGGTGAGGCCGCCGCTCGCCGCCATCGCGACCGCTACTACCACCACTACCGCATCAACACGGCGAGCGACGGCAAGGTGAGGCCGCCGCTCGCCGCCATCGCGACCGCTACCACCACCACTACCGCATCAACACGGCGAGCGACGGCAAGGTGAGGCCGCCGCTCGCCGCCATCGCGACCGCTACTACTACCACTACCGCATCAACACGGCGAGCGACGGGCAAGGTGAGGCTGCCGCTCGCCGCCATCGCGACCGCTACTACCACCACTACCACTACCGCATCAACACGACGAGCGACGGGCAAGGTGAGGCCGCCGCTCGCCGCTATCGCGACCGCTGCCGCCACCGCCGCCGGCACTACCACGACCGCCACTACCACTTGCTACCACTGCCACATCAACACGGGTGAGCCGTGGCTAGGTGAGGCCACCGCCACCACTGCCGCGTCAACACGGCGAGCGGCGGGCAAGGTGAGAGCCATTTTTCCGCTGGCACGTCAGAAATTCCGCGTTCAGCAGCCCCCCGAGTTCGACGCGACAGGGACCTGGGGGGCTCACTGGCCCACCCACGTGGGGGGGGGGCCACGAGCGGGGACGTCAACGTTTAAATGGGTAGGGGAAGAGGGGAAGGTAACTAACATACTGGGGGAAAGAAAGGGACGGGAGGGGGGGGGGTGAGGAGGGGGGTAACCGGGGGGAGGGTGGGGTGGGTGAAGAAAGAATCTTAAACCTGACTTCCTTAAATCACCCCCCCGTGCGTCACCCATTATGTCATCGTTTAAAATTATCAATGGGACTCGTGGCAGCGTGGCAGCGGACTGCAATGCGCAGGAGGCACGGCGGGGGGGTGGGGGGAGGGGGCGGCGTTGTAAATCCGCGTTCTTCTCCTCCTCCCCGGAGGGGGATGTAGAAATCTCCCCCCCCCCCCTCCCCCGTCACCTGCTTCCGCGCCGGATGTAACGGATCTCTCGAGAGAATGCGCTGTGTGTTGCTGTCGAGGGCCTCACTTCGGCCGGACCCTGGCGTCTCGCGCGCGGTCGCGGGGGCTGATTCTCGCGCTCCGAGCGACGGCACGTTTACACCGCCGCCGCCAGATGTTCCGTCTAGACAAAGATGTAATGACGTGAGAGAGATGTGGACAAGGTGCAGAGATGTAGTGAGATGAGACAGATGCAGAGAGCAGATAAAGATGGAGCGAGATGAGAGAGATGTGGACAATAGAGAGAGAGATGTAGTGAGATGAGACAGATGCAGAGAGCAGATTAAGATGTAGCGAGATGAGAGAGATGTAGACAATAGAGAGAGAGAGATGTAGTGAGATGAGACAGATGCAGAGAGCAGATTAAGATGTAGCGAGATGAGAGAGATGTGGACAATGGAGAGAGAGAGAGATGTAGCGAGATGAGAGAGATGTGGACAACAGACGGATGTAGTGAGACGAGAGAAGAGAGCTGCTGCACACCAGATGATAGAGTTGAGTGAGAACAATATCACCATTCGTGATCCTTTTGATGTTCACGACATTTTGGATTGGAGACGACATTCGCATCGCCCCTATTCATTTATTGATTCCTCACGGATCCGGGAACCACTGTGGGCTGCTAGAGGGGCCCTAAGCATTTGCGCCTCACGAGAAGAAGTGTCGGTGGTGATAGGTGCGAGGGAAGCCGCGTGGAGTGGCCCCATGAAATGACCACTGCACTGCCCTTTTACTGCGGCAGCGGCGGTGGCGGGGGAGGGCGGTGGTGCAGCGGTTAGCCTTACGCTGCGCGACGAACCCGGCGAACCCGAGTCCAGTTCCTGCTCGTGGCCAACACCGGCGACGATAATCTGAACTTGTCGTCGGCCTCTTCCGCTAGGTCGACTCGGCCTCAAATGAGTAACCTGGTGTGGTGTGCAGTAAACGTCGCCACTGGGGAGACAAAGGCGGCTGGGCGTGGTTGCTGGCCACCTACCACCTCGTGCGCCGTGCCGGCCTTCATGGGCACTGCTCGCTAACAGCACTTGCCCCAACAGTCCGTTAAGGCTATTAGGGGGCTCTTTGTCTTTGGCGGTGGTGGTGGTGGTGCCGGCGACGTCACTCGTGGGATTTTTGCCGCAGGGATGAAGGGGGAGTGGCGTCTCTGCATCGCGGCACGGGGAGGCGGTGTGGAGACGATGGTGGCGGGGCGATCGCGAGCGGTGGTGGCAGCGGTGAGCGCTGCGCTGCGCTCCGAACCCGGCACCTGAGTTCGATTACCGCTCACGGCCAACACCGGTGACGATATTGGGAACCGGTCCTGGGCCTTCTATAGGTCGACTCAGCCTCAAATGAGTGCCTGGTGCGGTGTCTAAACATTTGCCACTGGGGAGACAAAGGCGGCCGGGCGTGGTGTTGGCCACGCACCTCCTTCGTGTGCCGTGCCGGCCTTCATAGGTGCTCGCCAGCAGCACTTGTGCCAACAGCCTGTTCAGGCTACATGGGGGATCTTTTGTCTTTTTTGGTGCCGGGGCGATTGCTAACGGTTCAGGCTGTTGCGGAGGCGCTTGGGTAAAGCAAAATGTCAGTGCCCAGGAATCGTGAAGGATCTAGGGGTGCGTCGAATATCAGCTCGGATTCGAATCCCGATTGAATGTGACAAAATAGTTTACATAAGCAAGCCGATGAATCTCCCTCATCTCTGTCCCTCCTGCATCTCTATTCGCTCATCTCACTAGCATGTCTTATCTGCTCCGTTGTTTCTTGTCTACATCCCCTCTGTCCATGACCTCACTGTCTCTCGTCTGTAGCCCTTCTATCGCCTCACGCCATCACGTTCATCATTTGTCTACGATTCTCCTGAATTCTCTCTAAATCTCAATACGTTTCCATCTCACGCCGGTATCTCTGCTCGCATTCTCTCATCTCACGAGGGGGAAGGGGGGGGGATGAGGGACCCCCCCCCACCACCCATTGGGGTACAGGGGGCCTGACTCCAAGCGCGACCTTTGACATCTGTCGTCGTGAGCGTTCGGGAACCCAGAGAGAGGGGGCGACGCTCAACTTTGATTTCAAGCTTAAGTGTTGTTTTTGGTTATTTTTCATGTAATTATGATGATTATTATTTTCTTCTTCTAAGCGATTTTGACAATGAGGGGAATGTCTCGCCCAGGCCAAGCCCTGAGGCCTGAGCTTGGGAGCGTTTGATTTTCTGGGTGCCAAGGTGGCGAAACGTTAACTACCTCGCCTGGTATACAGGAGGTCGTGGGTTCGATCCCGACCCTGACGCCCGCTGTATATTTGGAGTTTGCATGTTCTCCCCATGGAGGGGAAAATCCGGAGGACCCGGAGAAAAATCCACACACCCACGGGGAGAAGGAGACACCGCAAACTCCAAATTTACAGCAGACGTCAGGGTCGGGATCGAACCCGCGACCTCCTGCATACCAGGCGAGGAAATTAACATCTCGCCAGCGTGGGGCAACGACCCCCGGCGGCGGATGATGTCACCACCGGCTTTCGACCGTCGCCGTTCAAGGGCCTATCTCTTACAATCGTTAAAAGTTCGCCCTCCTTCGGCGGCTCGGGTGGCATTGGCGATGCGCAACGCCGCTATCGCGTGTCTTGTCGAGTCGCTCGCGAGAGAACGTTCGACAGAAAGAAAACATTCTCTGAAACCGCATTCGAGCAGCGCGGAGAAGTACGGCCAAATGACCTCCCAAAACTTGTGCAGCTTGGCGATGCCCTAATCCAGCAGTGGATTAACACAAGTGCTGGACCACGTGTGCTTGCATACGGTCAAACTCAACGTATCTCTCTCGCTGCCGGTCCGTCAGCCTACGAGTGGGCCTCTTGGACTCGCGTTAAATAACGGCGTTTGTTTAAGCTGACGGTACCGTAAGTGCTTTCGACTTTGAGGGCCACGTAAGGAGATGTTACCGGCAGATTGGTGTGTCCGACAGAGATGGAAGCTGCGTGGGAGAAGCTGGTATGGAGTGCAGCAATTTATCTGCCCACTTATCTGCCCACTAATTTACTCACTCGCTCACTCTTGCACCCAATCAGTCATCCACCAACGTTACTGACCATTACAAATGTTGAGCTTCTTCTATCGCACTGTACGTCGCCAACCGGACAAAACTAGCACAAAAAGCAGTTCCAAAAAATTAGTTACATCCAATCACTTGCGTTCAACACCATCACACCCATACATTCATCCATAAATCCACTCACCCACCCAGCTACTCATCCACTCACTTATTTACTCAGTCGTCCATCCACCATTAGAATAATTCTCCAACTCGCCCATGTATTGACTCGCTTACTCACTTGCTCACTCCGCTCGCTCACTCACTCGCTCAATTGCATACACGCCACCATTCCACCCGTCCATCTATTCGTGCACACACCCACTCACCCACTCACCCACCGTTTCGGAGTAACGCGTGATGGACAGCGTGCATCGTCAACGCAACGCAATTCCACTGAGAAACTGTGTTGAGACTCCCGCTTGCATGCTAATGGAGTCTGCTTAATTTGGTGCATTTCACCATTGATTTTCCTGTTTGTTTTTTGTTCATGCAGCACTTAAATGGGCTCCTCCCTAAATTGCGTCGGTAATTACAAAGCGAAAGCGAGCAGCGGTGATGATGACGATGATGACGACGATAACGCTCAAAGTTCCGAGCCTTGCCAGACTGCTTCTGGCACGGCCCGGGACTTCTCTGTGTTTGTTCCAATGCCGTGTGGGATAAGTCCTTACCCTCCTTTCCCCATCCTCTCTGTTCTTCCCTCCCTCCCTTCCCTCCATTGTCGGAGGGAAGTGATCATAATTTATGTTTTTAATGAAAAATTACGTATGCTCGGATTAGCTTATGTTACCCAAAGTCAAATGTAAAAAAGGGTATTTTTAGTCCATCACCCTACTGCCTCTACTAGATGAATATTATCAAGCGGCAGTTTTTTTGGTTTAAGCAAGCAAACATCTGGACCTGTTTCAACCTTCTTGATCTCATCAGCACAGTCGTGAAATATTAAAGAAAT